AAATAAAATTAACAATAATTAATTTATTTTATTTTATACAGTTTTAGGTATAATAATTTTAGTACTTCAACTTATGCTTTTTTCAGTTACTTGACAAATAAATATTTCTCTTTTTTTCCAGCTAATATATATATATATATATATAAAAATGTGTTTTTTTATTGCAGCTTTATTTCAATTCTACAAAACATTTTTTAATTTGGCAAGTAAATGTTAAAAATAGTCTAACTTGCATGGTAAATAAATAAGATAATAATAATTAATAATAATAATAATCATATTTTTTTCTGAAGTTCATAATCTACATCAGTAAAACTTAGTATTATTTATGTTTTATTTGAAGTTTTTCATCTAATATTTATATTTTCTTTTACTTGATCTTTATTTAAATTACAGAAAACTATTTTTAATAGTTTTAGTTGTAGTTTCTGTTAACAACTGATGACAGAGATATTTTATTATATTTTGAGTTTTCATTTAGATTTTTGGTAAGTTTAGTAATTTTATTATTGCTTGGTTTTTTAAATATTTCATTTTAGTTTCAGTAATTTTACACTTATTTCAGTTTAAGTATTTTATTTAGTTTAAGTTTTTAATCTAATATTTATATTTTATTTTATTTCAGCTATATTTCAATTACAGAAAACTGTTTTTAGTTGTGGAATTTTTTATTTTATATTTTCAATTTTCATTTGAATTGTAGTTGAAGTTTAGTAATTTTGTTACGTGCTTCTGTCATTTTTATTATTTTTTTTAATATTTCAATTTAGCTTTATTTATTTCATTTCAGTTTTAGTCATTTTAGAACTTAAACCTATTTTATTTCAGTTTAAGTATTTTATTTTGTTAACGTTTTTCATCTAATATTTATATTTCCTTTTATTTCAATTACAGAAAACTGTTTTAATAGTTGTAATTGTACTTTTGTTAACAACTGATTGCAAAAGTCTTTAAGATATTTAAAATATTTCTATTTGGCTTTAGTTTATTTTTATTTCAGTTTTACAAATTTGAGTACTTAAACTTATTTCAGTGTGTTGCCAAGGCAACATTTCTCATTTTTGTTTTTCATCTAATATTTATATTTAATTTCAGCTTCATTTCAATTACAGAAAATGATTTTTAATAGTTTTAGTTTTAGTTAGCAGCTGATGGCAGGGAACGACTTCCCAAACCTCAAATGAGTAAACTGAGCATTTCAGCCATTAGTACTGCATTTTTAAACAGCAGCATCAAATAAAAAATAGACTTGCATGGTAAATAAAAAATATTCAGTGTCTGATTGTATGTAGGCACCCCCTAAAAACCCGTCTGATCAAAGATAAAGTTCATAATCTTCTTCAGCAGATCTTTCTCTGACTGAAACACATCTCAGTCTGAAGAGATTCTGGAGCGTCTCACCCAAACACGCAGCGGCGCCGACCATGGCGTACAGACCCGGAGTGACGCAGTCTGCACCAGGACGACACCAGTTCTTAAAGATGATCCAGTCGTGATGATGATAAGCCATCTGCTCCACCGCGATGCCCACGATACGGCCGGCGATGGCACCCACCGCCATACTGGGGATGAACAGACCCGACGGGATCTGAGGAGAATCACATCAAATTATATATTTGTGACCCTGGACCACAAAACCAGTCATAAGGGTCAATTTTGTGAAATTGAGATTAATGCATCATCTGAAAGCTGAATAACTAAGCTTTCCGTTGATGTATGGTTTGTTAGGATAGAACAATATTTGGCTGAGATACAACTATTTGAAAATCTGGAATCTGAGGGTGCAAAAAAATCTAAATATTGAGAAAATCATCTTTAAAGTTGTCCAAATGAAGTTCTTAGCAATGCATATTACTAATCACAAATTAAGTTTTTATATATTTACGGTAGGAAACTTACAAAATATCTTCATGGAACATGATCTTTACTTAATATCCTAATGATTTTTGACATAAAAGAAAAATCTATAATTTTGACCCATACAATGTATTGTTGGCTATTGCTACAAATATACCCCAGCGACTGCTTTTGTGCTCCAGGGTCACAAATATAATTTAAATATAAATCAGTTAATATTCAATTCAATAATCTATATTGTTTCAAAAAATGTCTGTGCCAATGACAAAGTAATTGATGAAGTATTAATTTAAATATATCATCTGCATATTTGCAGGAAACAATGTAGATCAAAAAAGCATAAACCGAATAATTAGGCTGGTTTCTTTTCTTAAAATAAAGCTTTTTCATCTAATATTTATATTTTATATTGTTTTTCTTTGAACTTTAAATATAATTTTAACTGAAAAACATAGAAACTGAAAAATCCATAAATACAACTGAAAAAACTAAGAAAAAAATAAATGTAACAAATTAGATTAAAAAAAAAATTTATATATAAATATATATGCAAATATATATGCATTTAAACAATAAAAATAAATGAGATCAAAATAAATGTGCATTTACTGAACCGTTTTTCTTTTAACTTTAAATATAATTAAACTGAAACACAAACAACAAATACATGTAAATAAATAGATACAAATTTATAATATATAAATATGTATGCACATTGAAATATCTAATATAAAATAATAAATAAAAATAAATGAGATCAAAATAAATGTGCATCTACTGAACCATCTTTTTAACAGTGTTTATCATTGAAGTTTAAATATCATTCAACTGGAAAACAAATATAAAAAATGTATGTAAAATAAAATAATAGATAAAAATTATATATGCACATTTAATATATAATATAAAAAATGTATACAAATATTGAGATCAAAATAAATATGCATTAATTAAACTGTCTTTTAACAGTGTTTTTCTTTTAACTTTAAATATAATTACCCTAAAAAATACAATTTAATAAAATAAAATGAGAAATGTTGCCTTGGCAAGTTGGAGCACTAAAATTACTGAAACTAATACAGAAATAAAAAATAAATTAAAAATAAATAGAATTATTTAAAAAAATGACAAGCACTTAAAATTACGCAATCTAAACGTAAATGTACAATAACAAAATAAATTATAAATATGTATCCACATTGAAGTAATAAATATAAAGATAATAAATAAAAACAAATAAGATCAAAATAATTATGTATTAATTTAACGTTTTTTAACAGTATTTTTCTTTAAGCTTTACATATAATAATTAAAAAAATAATAATAGACAGGTTGCCTTGGAAACTACCTGAAATATAAGTTTATGTTGAAGTTCTAAAATTACTAAAACTAAAATAAAATAAAGCTAAATAGAATAAAAAAATAAAATAAAACTGACAATAGCACAAAATTACTGAAACTAAAATCTAAAAATAAGAGCTAATTTAAAATATGAATAAATACTATAATTTGTCCAAGCAATAATAAAAGGACACATTTAATTTATAATTTGTCTTAAATCTCATTTTGTTAAAAAAATCGTGAATCGAATCGTGAGTTGAGTGAATCGTTACATCCCTATTTAAGACACAAGAACATGGTCGATCTGACCTTCATGCCGAATGTGAAGATGGTGATGACGATCTTGAAGACGAGCGCCAGCGCGAGCTGCCAGAGGGCGCTGTAGACGCCGGGGCCGGCGGGTCTGTCGGGGATGTCGTCCACGGGTCGGCTCATGTTGGGGTTGTTGATGTAGTCACAGAGCTGTGAGGACTCGAGCGAGCCGCAGTCGTTAAACAGCTCGGAGATCAGCTCGCTGGTGCTGCGCCGTGTGTACGGGTTCGGGAAGGCCAGGACGGCCGTGATCCCCGTCACCACGATCACCTCCAGCACCGGGTACTTGCCCAGCCTCGTGGTCTTGCGCCGCCGGCACCAGGCAATGTTGCAGCGGATAAAGAGCGTCCCCCAGAGGCCCCCGAACACACCCAGCAGGATGAACGGCACCAGCTCGGCCATGTACCACGGCGTGTGATACTCCACGTAAAACAGAACCAGACGGTTGTTGCCGAACGGGTTTATGGAGCGCAGCGTGAAAGCCGCCACCAGCGCCGCGAAAAAAGACCGCCATAACGTCTTCAGAGGGAAATAATAACTCACCTGCAGAGAAACAAACACATTCACATATTTAAATACACATTTTAGGGCTGTCATGTGATTAAAACTTTAATCTAAATAATTACATGATGTGCTGATTCATTCAATCAATTTTGACTGAGAAATTACCCCCTAAAAAGATCACTTATTGCCCTCATATTCAGCATTGCCTAAATAGTGATAATAAATTGCTATTAATGGGTTTTAAAAATGAAATACTGAAATATAAATTGATTTTTTGTTTTTTCAAAAAATTAAATGATTCTCTCAACTAAAAGCGCCAGTAGGTGGCAGCAAGTCACTATCTTGATAAGTGAGTCATTCAGTTATTCATTCAACCGATTCATTCAGAAACAAAGCAAGAGATTGGCTGTGTTCGAAATGCCATACTATCATACTACTCTTACTATTTCTGCAGTATCCAGTATGTATGCTGTGCATAGTATGCAAATTTTCTGTATGCATGTAATACCCGGATGACCTACTATATTCGCCAGAATCTGCTAAATATAACTCAAGTACACTGAAATCAGTACAGAAGCTGTTCGGAATGGCATACTACCATACTATAGTGCAGTATGCTGTGTGTATACTGTGAATAGTGTGTGAATTTTCTGTATGCATGGAATGCCCGGATTACCTGCTACATTGACTGAAATTTGATGCATGCATCTGAAGATGCTGCTTGGGATACTGTTTCCCAGAATGCAACGCGCTCCATGTGACGTTTCATCTTCAAACGCGTGAGTGAACTGGAGGTGGGGAATAGTAATTATAAATGTAACACTTGTATTTGTACGTATATACATATACATGTAAACTACAAACTATCGCTGCTATTTTAGTGTAAACAGAATTGATCATTATTTGCACTTAGTGTAACTAGAATATATCGCTTTTTAATATATCGCCACTTAGTGTAACTACCAAAAATATCAATAAAGACAGCTCAGTGTTGATTTAGTTCTGTCCAATATGTAAAGTTAATCAATTATGAAATGTGTTCAATTGGGCAATATAGCATTGTTTACTAGTATGAAGCCTTATTAACAAGCCTTTGTAAAAAGAACAGTTAGCTCATTTGTTTTGACAGCTGTGCTGAATTAATGTTGTGTTTGTCATGTGACAGCACTTAAGCATACTACTCTGAAACATTTATTGCTTATTGTATACTGTTTCACACACTATTCTTTAAAAAAATAGTAGGCAGTATGCACTGTGTACTGCGCAGTAAGCAGTAAGCAAGTATGCCATTTCAAACACAGCCACTGTCTTTATGAATGAATCACTGAATCACTGACTCACTTGATTTGTTCAAACTGCTGATTCATTCAGAATCTAAGCATATGACATGCCCTGCGTCTCAATGTTCATACTATCCATCCTAAATAGTATGTGAGATTAGAATAAGTGTGTCCCAAAGCATAGTATGTTCAAAAGAGTACGCCAAAAGTCCCCGGATGGTCTACTATTTCAGGTCGATTTTTGAAGTGTGGATCCGTGCACACTCTAATGGCTAAAATTGCCCACAATCCATTGCGCTTTGGCGAAGCATTCGGTCCAGAACTACAAACACGAATAAAACGTGTTAGAAAAACTACAAACGTGGCGGAAGCGCACGATCAACGGTTAGGTAGAGAGGTTTACAAAAAGGGCTTTGAGTTACTAATAATCAACATTTAACCTGGTAAAAATATTTATTTATTGTTATCCGTGTTATATTTCATCTGCAATAGCAATGTGAACTTTTATAAACATCCATTTGGTCGTTAACTTTTAAATGCATCATTATGCATAAAATATGAGCAGAG